TGCATTTTACATTTTTGTTCGATTATAAAAATGCACCATACACTTATAATTAAAAAACGAGGTGCTTCCCTGGTGGCGCAGTGGTTGAGAATCTGCCTGCCAACGCAGGGGACATGGGTTCGAGCCCTGGTCCGGGAAGATCCCACATGCCGTAGAGCAACTACCCCCGTGAGCCACAATTACTGAGCCTGCGCGTCTGGAGCCTGAGCTCCGCAACAAGAGAGGCCGCGATAGTGAGAGGCTTGCGCACCGCGATGAAGAGTGGCCCCCGCTTGCCACAACTAGAGAAAGCCCTCGCACAGAAACGAAGACCCAACGCAGCCATAAATAAATAAATAAATAAATAAATAAATAAATAAATAAATTTAAACCATATGGGCTTCTAAGAAGACCTCTGCTTAAAAAAAAAAAAAATGAGGAAATATAGAAAACTCTAGAGGAAATGAAGCCATTTATAATCCCTTTACACAGAAATAGTCACGATTAACCTTTTATTATACCTTTTTCTCCATACATTCTTGAGGTTGCAGAAGTTCTCAAGATGGATTTGTAGATTGTTTCCAGGAAACAAAAATCAGAGTGTTTTTCCTGAGTTCTAAAGGTGCCCTTGGAATTACATCCACACTCTGCAGCCTTCCCTGCCTGCGAGAAAGCAGGTCATGGGAGCAGGGAATCGGCCCCACCTGCTTGTCTGGAGGTAGGCACCATATCTTTTCTTCCTCCACCATGTCTACCTTCGTTTTCCATCTGGGCTGGACTGGAGAGGCCAGGCTGACAAAGACCAGTGCACCCCAGACCATGAAGTCTTTCCAGGCTGCATTCAGGTGGGTTGAGGCATCTGCTTTCTAAACATGTCCAGAAATCTCAGTGCCATTGCATCCCATTGTATGACAGAAGGAGGAGGTGGGGGACAGGGCTTTCCAACACCGTGGGTTCAATTCCAATGGCCGAATTAGTTCCGTGCCTTTTAGAATGCTTCCCACTTCTATCTTCCCCTTTACCGCAAAGCATGGTGCAGCCAAAGTTTTTCGTACCCATCGTGTTTCCTTCTCCTGGAACTGTAGTCCTGTTCCTTGGAGGATTCTCCCCAATTCCCCACTCTGATCACGAGGTTTGATTAGGGGCTATCAGTCATTGTTCCCCTCTCCTCACAACAGGGTGAGTGTGTGACCCCAGCCAGGTCAACCAGAGACCTTCTCCGGATTTTAAAATGAGAACCGAGAAACTAGGACCTTGCTTCTGGTCCCAGCAAAACTGGGAAGGTGTGAGCCGACTTCAGTGTCTGTGTCCCATGATGTGTGGAAGCCTCTGCTGCGAGAGGAACTGTCCGGAGAAGCAAGCAGAGAAGATGGAGGGAGGGAGGGAGGGAAGGAGAGGAGGGAGGGGAAGAGAGAGAGAGAGAGAGAGAGAGAGAGAAGATGTGCGCGTGTCTCTGGGGTTTGTCAGACAAAGCTATTATCAAAATGCCAACCAGCTCCTGCCTGGCCAATTTGCATATTCCATGCTGTGCTCTTTGAAGCAGGATGAATATGCATGAGGGCTTGGGCAGGGGGTTGTGCGGGTGGAGATGCGAGGCTGTGGGCTAAGGTGGCCCATTGTTCTTTTAAAAGAAAGGCAGTAATATGAGGCCAAGCACCGTCCCGGTGAGCAGAGTGGCCTCTGCGTCCCCTCTCTCATGAAGGGAGGTGGAGAGCAAAGCTCCGGCTCAGACAGAAGCCCTAAGGAGTCGCCCCTCACCCTCCCAAGGGAATAAATAATCAGGCGCCATCAAGAACGTGAGTGTCTCTTCTCCAAGAGCTGCATCTAATTACTCCCCCCTCCACGCATACTGATCGTGGACGCTGGCCCGGGTGTCACCTCTCCCGGCTCCCTCCCGATTCACGCTTCTGCTGAAGGAGGGCTGGGCCCCTGGGGTGCCCCCTGCTCCTGGCCTTTGCTGAGACCGGAAGCGCTCTTTGTGACGGGGCCGCTGGGGGAGTCCCTAGGACACAGTGATGCTCAAAGCCCATGGAACGGACCCATCACGCCCGTTAGGACTTGGTTCATCATTCGTACTAAAACACCCATTGGATTGCACCTTATGATTTTCCCCGTCTCTTCCCTGGCCTCTAGCTGAAGATAGTTATACTCCAGATATTATTCCAGTCAGCATGCAAAAGGTTTATTTCATTTTAAAAATCCAACTCATCCCATAAAACTTAGTATCCCAACGTCCTTCCCTTTGGGTTTTCTTTGTTTTAAATTTGTTTATTTATGTATTTAGTTTTGTCTGCACTGGGTCTTTGTTGCAGCGCACGGGCTTTTCTCTAGTTGCGGAGAGCGGGGGCTACACTTTGTTGCGGAGCACGGGCTCTAGGCACACAGGCTTCAGTAGTTGTGGCTCGCAGGCTCTGTAGTTGTGGCACACGGGCTTAGCTGCTCCGTGGCACGTGGGATCTTCCTGGACCAGGGCTGGAACCCGTGTCCCTTGCATTGGCAGGCAGATTCTTAACCACTGTGCCACCAGGGAAGTCCCTTTTTTAAAAAAATTAATTAATTTATTTTCCTTTGGGTTTTCTTTCTGAGCTACCACATCTGTCTCCCGTCTTGCAGCAGAGATACAAGGAAAGGGAATGTGGGGACATAGGATAGTTTGTTTCAATTCTACACAACCAAAGGCTGGCCTCAGGCCCTACAGTGGCATTTCCTCACCAAGACTAGATCAGATTAAGCTTCGCAAACCCACATGGAAGCCTTTAACTGATGCGGATGCACCTCAGTGAAGGAGCCTGCCGGCCGGACTAAGTCCTACCTGCCCAGGAGGGTGCCCTGCAGGCCTTGGCTCCCCGGTGGCCCTGGCTGAGTGCCTAGCTCAAGTCCCTCGGTCGACTTGAGCTTTGCCATCAGGACTGACTGGAGTTTGAAGTACCAATCCGGGAGAGAGAGAGAGAGAGAGAGGGAGAGAGGGAGAGAGGCATTCGGTCGTGGCCTAGGCTTTGCTTTAATCCTCCAGGTCCCCTGGATTCTTTCAAAAGTTTGGTTTTCCCTTTCTTAAATTCTATAACCTACCCTAGGAATTTTCTCTACAAATGAATTCTGAACTGGTTTTCTGTCTTTTGTGATCAGAAGAACCCTGAGCAATAGAAGCCGGTTCTCCCCAGCCCCGCTTTGGTCCCCTGGACTCTGCAGGCCTGTGGCTCCTCCACTGCGTGGATTTCTCAGCCTTTCCTCAAGAGCCCCAAGTCCTTAAAACAGCCCACCCCTCTCCCCTGCTTCAGGGTAATCTCTAATTTACTGTAGCAGACAGCAGCTCTGATTAAGCTGATATCTGCTCTTAAAGAGCTGCCGCTTCCTTCCAAAGATTCCCCAGTTGGTGGAATTTGGGAGAAGGGAGGCCATCTTCCATCTTGACCTTCTTTACTCCAGACTCTCATTTGGGGAAATGCACCAGGAAATGGAATTATTTAGCCTATCACCTGGACTCGCTTCTCCCACTCACCCCACCCTCGTCTTCACATGTGGTTCCTCAGCCCACAGGGCTCAGTCTCGACACACAACGCGTTTTCTTGGAGACAGTGAGGATTAACCTTGCAAAACTCCGCAGCGGAGGCAGCTCCCTTCCTTGACACTGTCCTTCAAGCTGATTGTTGAGCTCTTTTTAACTTTTCATATTATTTTGCAATGGTGAAATGGCAAGATAATCACTTTCTTTAAGAGAGGTGACAGATGGCGCACTTTAAAACAAGAGAATGCCTCTAATCAAAAGCCAATGAACACAACGTTGATAAAATGGTATAAAACCAACCCCTTTCCTGTAATGGTATAAACCACCATACTAATCCTGGACTTGCTGGCTTTTCTGAATCAAACTTGAGTTATGGTGGAAGATGGGCGTGGTCTACTCCATAAGTAATTTGCAGCACCTAACACGTGACAGGCACTGCGCTAGACTCAGCGACTGTCCATCACTATGAAAGAAGCTTATTTATGCCCCATTTGATTGATTGTGCAATGGGCTGTAGCTGCACGTTGCCATTTTCCTAGGAAAGGCCTCTCCTGAAAATGCTCTCTAGCATTTACTGCTAAAGGCCAAGCGTAAACTCCGTATCAAGTTATGAATTTGACAACCGCCAGTGCTCACGAAGAGACGGGGCTTGTGCCTCTCCTTTGCAACCTGAACTTCCCACAGCTACCAGCTGAATCCGAATCCGAGTGAGGTCGGAGAGACTGCTGGACCCCTGCCAGTTGACATTCCACTTGACTGACAAAACACATCCCCTGCTGTGCTTCTCCCTGACAGGCATCTATTTCGAGCCCCTTCTAGAGAATGCAGTGACAGTTCCAGCCTTGAGCTTTGCCTTAGTTCCCAGGGAGACCTCCTCATGCCATGTTTTATTCATGGTGTTTCCCAGGCTGGTCTCTTCATTGTAAAAATCGGTCGTGGGGGTAGGGACAATCCATGAACCTGAAATAAAGTGTGAGTGTCACAATAAAACCGTCCCTTTGTGTATGGAAAGCCTACAACCAGAGTCTGAGATGCTGGGGAAGGTTTGTGTACCGAGGATTCTTAAGGCAGAGCATCCACAGAAGAAAAGAAAATAGTTATTCACATTGCATTGGAGTCGTGAAGGAAATAGGTCAGATAAACCAAAATAACCTTTGCTGGGAAATGCGATAAGCTTCAGACATCTGAGACCATGGAGAAAAAAGATGCTGCAATGGATAAAAGCAGTAGACTGACAGATGTGCAGGGCTACAAGCAGGAAAGCTACAAAGAACGTACAGAGTAAACATTTATTCTACCTTCTCCCAAGAAATCTCTTCTCCATCAACTCCATCATTGTCCTTCCTGTAGGAACTGGATATCTTTCCACTTCACAGGTTAGAAATTTGTAGGAGAAAGTATCAGAAGCATCTCTTCCACCTGTCCCAACCACCCAAAACAAAACCAATAGCCCAGCATGACAGAGGACAGATTGCAACCCTGTATCACATCCGCCTGATGAGTAACACGTGTGTACCTTGAGAGTAATGGTCCTCTCGTGACGGGTGACATTAACACTGTGGGGCTGCCCATTGGCCATGCTCCTGTGGTCCACGTCAATATTATATGGCTCCCTGGTGCCACCCAGGCTGTACCGGATCTGTAAGCTTCCTACACAGAGAAAAGAAAAGAAACTCAGTCATTTCTCCACTCTGGATTTCATTTTAATGTCACTTCCCCCACCCCTTGAGGCTAATTCCATTAAACTCAGCTTCAACGTCCATCAATATCACCTCCGTTCTGAATTCTGAGTGACTAGCTCAGAGGCACACTGATCCATAAAGGCTCACAGCACCAGGCACGCGCATGTTGACAATCTACCAACAACAAGCCATCAGTGACCATCATCTCCAAGTTGAAGCAGCAAATGGTATAAACAATCCAAGTCGGGATTGAGCCTGGGATGGCAGAATGAGAACATACATGATATAGGACCATGGAGACGCCTACAGGCCCCACAAAATAGTCCGTGAAATAAAAAATAAATGCAGGATGCCGGGATGGTCTCATGCCATCGGCAAAGTGTGACATTCAGCATATAAAAGAATCATGAACATACAATATTAAGAATAAACATAATTTACAGAAGATAAATACATGGGATCTTGGGAGGCTTCACTGAGACCAAGAAAACAAAGCAATGGCTTTTATTCTAGGTTAGAGACCTCATCAATCCAAATGCAAATCACAGGCAAAAAGATGGGTCCTCATCGCCTCTCAGTTGTAGTTCACTTTGCCTCAACAAATTATTCTTTTTTCTCTTTCTTGTTTCTTCCCAATAATGACAAGCAATATTCAAAAAGATTAATATAATATTCTACATCCTGCTTTTAATTAATCTGCACAGTAAACGTAGCTTTTATTTCTTAGTTATGATTTTTAAAGGCATCGACTTTTTATCTCATTTTTTACTCAAATTGGAATCTTCGTGTTAATAGCTTTTGACATCTCAGAGCTTAAAAATGGAGCCAGTAATTTAGCAAGAGTTTGGCCAACTGTAAATCACCTCAAAGATTCTTTGTCGCCTTTTCATTTTCCTTCCAGAGGAACAAAAGTGATATTCTAAGTTGTGAGATAGAACATGATAATTAAAACTTAAAAAGTGAACAGAAAAAAAGAAAGTCACTGGAAACTCCACCGTCCAGAGGTAAACTACTCTAAATATTTGGCAATATCTCCTTGTAGGTAATTCTCATGTCCTCATGTGTACATAAACAAATGCAATAGTTTCTGAATGCTGCCCTTCCTTATTTAGCGCTACATGTGCCATTTAAAATATTGAACTACGTTCCTGGAATTGAAAGAACAATTATGAATTACTTGCACTTCCTATTTTTCCTTTCTGAACAAATCTGGCAAGGCTTCACTATTTGAGTTTTCTCTTGGCACTTGATCCTAGATTCCTTTGCTTTATAGCGTTTCAACAAAGCACTGTTGACTTTCGTCTCCTAAATGGGTCTAAGTTCACCCACTCTCCCCCATCTCCACAACCACAGGGCCTCCACTGGCACCTAGAATGCCCTGGTATGGCTCCCATAGGAGCCTGCCCCTGCACGCAGAGCTCCTGGCCTGACTCAGGGCCTCTGAGCTGGCCACACCCTATCAGTGACCTGACGGCCACCACCTGAGCTTCACCTGCATTGGCTTCTGCCTGGATCACGTGATCCAAATTGGCCCGTCCTTTAAAAGTGATCACTCGACCCCATTTCACTCTCGGGCGAGTCCCCTCTTTCCGTGCTCTCTTATTACTAATCCATTAACGGAGGTGTCGCACTGGGACCTCAGACACAACATACGTGAAACCAAACTCTTGATCTTCCCCTCCAAAAACTATTCCATCACAATTCCCACATTTCAGCTAATGGCCACTTTATCCTTCCAGCTGTTCCTGCCTAAAAGCCCTGACTCCCCACTTGCTCCTATAATACACGTATGATCTATCAGCAAAGCTTCTTGGCTCAGTCTTTAACACACACCCTGAACCTTACTGCTCTCATCACCTCCGTTTCTATTCCTGGACCAAGCCACCCTCGTCTTTTGTCTGGATCACTGTACTAGCCTCCATACTAACTACTGCCCTTCCGCCACGCTCCCTCAGCCCAGCCTGGCCTCCGCCCCTCACATAGCTGGTCTCTCCACGCGGCAGTCAGGGCGGTCCCCTGCTCAGAACCCTCCCATGGCCTCCTGTCTCAGAGTAAAAACCGACGTGTCCATAGCGGCTCACCAGGCCCTCTGCGGCCCCCCCGCTCACCTCTGACATAAGCTCTCATTATTCTCCTCCTTTCTCACTCCTCGCCTGAACACACTGGCCTCTTTGTTGTCTCCCCAGATGCCAGCATGTTCCTGCCTCAGGCCCTTGGCGCCTGCTGGTTCTTCTGCCTAGGATGCTCATTTCCCAGTTATCTGCGTGGCTGACCCCTCACTCCCTCTAGGTCCTGTCAAATATTGTCTTCTCAGTGATTATTGCTGTGACCTGCTTATTAGAAGCAGAATTTACCCACTCCTCTCCCTTGGCCAGGCTTGCCCTTTCCTGCCTTATTGTTTTCCCCATGAGAGTTCTTACCATACAACATACTACATACTGTACTCAGTATGTTTACTGCTGTCTTCTGCTAAAATGTAAACTCCATGAGAGTAAGAATTTTTGTTTATGTTCTTTATGACTTAATTCCCAACGTCTAGAACAATGCCTGATACATGGTAGGTGCTGGATAACTACTCGTTGAGTGAATGGATGATGGTCTCCTTGCTTCTGTGCTTTCTTCCTTCCCATGTTTTCTTAGCAGAGAAATCTTTTCAAGATGCGTAACTGACTAGCTGTCTGGTTCACTCAAAACTCTTCAAACTTTCCAGCTGCTTATAGGATAAAGACATACATTCGTAACATAGCTTATGATGTCCTGTCTGATCACAGCTTGCCAGTTACTTTATTGTAAAACATGCCATTTACCCTCTCTTCCTTTTTACATTCAAGCTACCTATGACTTCTCTTATTCCCCAGGAAATACAATTCTTCCTGCCTCAGGACCTTTGAATATGTTGCTCCCGTCTCCTGAGCTACTTCTCTCCCCACTCCTCAGTGATTTACCCTATTTTTTCTTTATTCTAATAGCATTAAAAACAATCTATTGTTTGGCAGCGAAGGAGATGATTAGGCAGCTGTTTGGCCACAGGTAGAAAAAACAAGTCAATCGTCTCGAGTTTTTATTCTCCACTTTACTTCTGGTGCTCTGACCTTGTATGATCACAGCCAGTTTTCTTAAATACACAGCTGTATTCATTCATCATTTAAAACTTAATTTCTTTAGAACATACTTATTTAGTGCCCCTGGTGAACCCAAGTTTCCAAGGTCTAGAAGCGGACTGCCTGGCTGGCTGTAAGTGTGGAGTCCACTTCTAATACAGACACCCATCCCCAGCCGCTGTATGGTATGGGCCAGGCCGTGCCTGGATCTGGGGATGCAAAGAGAAGTAAGAGAGGGCTCTGCCTTTGAGGCTAGGAGCTGGAGGAACTGGTAATTATGCCAAAAAACCCCCACAAAAACCTGGACATTTTTCTCCCTACTGTCTCTTCATCATTGGCCCCTTTATGTTCTCCAGCTCATTAAAATCAGTATTAAGTTGTTTTTGTTATTTCTTCTCTCTTCTGGATTTCTTGGACTTTGTAAATATGATGTAAAACTTCTCTAACTCCTTCACTTAATGACAATGGAAATGATTTGCTTTGAGGAAAAAGATGAGTTGGACCTTAAAATTTATATATAGTGAACATCTATAAACAGTAATGGCAATATTCTTGAATAATAAAATTTAAATGATATATTTATTCCTTTCAAACAACAGCACAAGAGAACCACTAAATGACGGGAAGGAGAATATTAATATTTGTTCATTAAAATAAAATATTATTAAGATGGAGAGATGCTTCACTTCTTGCATCTCATGTTCGTCTCCCGGGTGAATTAAAGCAGCTATAAGGGACTCTACTCTTTTATTGGCTGCAGCAAATAATGTGCTTAACAGATGTATTCTCTACTGGTCATCATCATTACCATCAGCAAACAATTACAGAGCACCTACTGTACGCAGGAGCTGTAGTGCGGGGGGGGGCCTTTCATCTCACTGGGAAGACAGGGCATATTTATAACAAAGATGGGTAACAATACAGTGTACTAAAAGCCAAATAAATGACATTGAAAATAAGTGTAATAGGAGTTTAAAGTAAGGAGAAGTCACTGAGAGGAGATGAGACTTGATCTGGGTCTAGAATGAAAGGCAGGTATTAAGCTACAGAGAAAGATGGAGCTTTTCCAGATAAGGGAGCACAGCAGGCAGCAGGGCAGACGTCCTTGGGGTGTGTGAGGAGTGAAAAGTTCCTGGAGAAGGGAGAGAAGGGAAGCGTGGCCTCAATATGTGGCAAAACGTAGATTAAATCATGGGCTCTGGATAATAATAACCGCTAACACACACACACAGTGTGTGTGTGTGTGTGTGTGTGTGTGTGTGTGTGTGTGTGTGTGTGTGTGTGTGTGTGTGGTGTGTTACGCTTACTAACTCATTTGACTTTCACAGCACTGCTCTGAGGGAGACACTATGTAACAGATGATGAGACGGAGGCTCGTCAAACCCAGACGTTCCGGTTCTGCACTCCAAGCTCTCACTCAAGAGGCTGGTGGGTCCTGATTGGAAGCTGCTGGGACTCAGGATCTGTCCTCCTGATCCTGGGGAAGGAGGCCCTCCTGGCTGTATGATAGGGACACTGTGTGTGAAGGATGACCTGCTCTGGCTGGGCTGGGCAAGGTTAGGGTGACTGGAAGCAGAGAGACGGTCGGGACACAGCATCCCAGGGACGTGCTGAGGTGCACTGCTACCCCACGGTGGGTTGGGTCACGGGGTGCCAGGAGCCCGGCCACCCTCAGGCCTTGGCAGATCTGTGGAGGTAAGGCCTGCTGGAGTCCCTGGGCTGGGGGCCTCCCAAACACAACCTCATGCATCTGCCCAGGTGCCATTCAAAGATAACATTCTATGTGTGCCACGCCAGCAGTAATGTCGGGAAGCGCTGAATCAGAAGACATTTGCCAGGAGAGTAGCAGTGGGGAAGCAAAGGAAGGGATACTCTGGAAGGACATGGTGAGAATAGGATGCACAGGACTTGTCAGGCTGGATGGCCCGCAAGAGGCGGAAGGACGGAGCGCTCATGAATGAGGCCAGGCTGTGAGTTCTGGTGTCTGAGAAGCGGTAGCAGTGTCAGAACAAGAGGGGCCTGGTTCTGGGAGCAGTGAGGACAATACAGTTTCCAATATGTTAAGTTTAAGAGATGCCAGGGCATTTAGTTAAAACTTTTAATTTTATTTTAATGACATTTTGGTTTAGTCCTTATTGATTTCTTTTCCCTCAATGAGTTCCTCAAATTTTTCTAGCTTTAAATCTCAATTCATAAAAAATGCAGTATTTGGAGTATGAAAAAGCCAAATTTTCATTAGCAATTGAGGATGGCCTTGCAATAATTAGAGAGAAACTGTCCATGCTTTGCAAATGCACCGAGTGTTCTAGAGGTCTCTAAGCAGGGCAGTGGAGAACTCTGGGTCCAGCATCAGACACCTGGGTTCAGGAACCCCAGTTGTGCCATCACCAGCTGAGTGTGCAAATCACCGAATCTCTCTGCACTCCAGTCTACCACCTGCAGGAAGAGGGTAAGAATGGACTCTACCTTATAGAGTGTGTGCTCTTGGGAATTAATGCATGTGAAACACTTAGCACAACTTCGGGCAGCCTTACACGGTAGCCATTAATATGGAAACGATTAGTCAAAACCCCTGCGTATGACAAAGGCCTACAGACACACGCGTGCGTGGGTGCTCGCAGGGGCCGGTGCAGGCTTGGGGGCGTGAGTTACTGGATAGAATTGGGACCAGATTTTAACGTGGCAGTGGCTTGAGGAGCAGACAATACAGCATCTACTGAGGCATGTTCCTGACATTCTTGACAAGCTAGAGGTGAGAACCCACTGCCCACTGAGGAGAGGTTGGGACATGAGGGTGGAGAACATCAATGGATTAAACAGCTATTTAATCTGATGCAGGAGAAAGAAACTTAACACGTGAACTTCCAGAGAGCAGGGCTGTACACTTTTCTACTTCCTCACTTCCTGATTTAACTGTTTTTTTCTGATGAGAACAGTGACAGGATCACTGAGAGCATTTGACATGTGTGGAAGAGTATTACCCAGGAGAAACAAATCAACTGCCCAAACAAACAAAGATACTTTGCGCTCACATTATTACTTTTTTTTTTTCCTATCCATCTTTTTTACAGAGCTAAACTGATATTGTACAGTCAAAGCTGTATCATGCCTTTTTTTGGTTTTATATAATATTACATAAAAATTTTCTCCATGTCATTAATTACTCTTCATAAATATTATTCTTAATGGATACACGATATTCCATAAAATGGTGATTCCCTCTTTTACTAACCATTTTCCTAAAATTTAACTTCTAGGTCCTTTCTAATTCTTATTTTCATAAATAACAGTATAAACTATGATGAACATCTTCATGCTGAATCTTTGTCTGAGTTTTGGCTTCTTTCTTCAGAAATAATTTCTGAAAGGGAAAATCCTAAGGAACATTTTTTTCCCACCCATCTTTTAAACCGACAGAGCATTGCCCAGAGAAGTTTAAGAATTTACTATTTTATTAACACTCAAGCTGAATTGGGTTAATAATAATAATTTTTAGTTCCTACAGAAGAAAATCTTGATTTTTAAGATGCCACGACACTGAAATAGCTGTCAGAAAAGGCTGCAGGACCTACTAGAGAATGGGCTTGAGGATACAGGGAGGGGGAAGGGTAAGCTGGGACAAAGTGAGAGAGTGGCATGGACATATATACACTACCGAATGTAAAACAGATAGCTAGTGGGAAGCAGCCGCATCGCACAGGGAGATCAGCTCGGTGCTTTGTGACCAGCTCGAAGGGTGGGAGGGAGGGAGACACAGGAGGGAAGAGATATGGGGATATATGTATATGTATAACCGATTCACTTTGTTATAAAGCAGAAACTAACACACCACTGTAAAGCAATTATACTCCAATAAAGATGTTAAAAAAAAAAAAATGGCTGCAGAGCTTCAATCATTATAGAGCAAGACCACGAGAGAGGCAGCCTCTGTGCCTCCAACCTGTACAGTCTCACTGGGAAAGGAGAGAGATTTGCTCCTTGATAAACCTAACTATTTTTATTTGTAAAAAAGAGATCTTAAAACTCCAAGTATCATAGAACTCAAGTTTTCAGAGAGGAAATGGACTCAATGTTTGGCATGTTTATGTGCTTTAGAACTGCTTAGATTGCTCTGAAAGATCCTAAGTCCATTTGTATATTCTAAAATAGGATGCCTATTTTAGTCGCACTGACGCTCCTGGCTTAGTGTATATTTGGAGATGGTCCCCAATATTACAGCAATGAAGGGCAGAAGGCTAGGTATCCTCCTCCTTACCTGTGGGTTTGACGAGAACTGCCAGGAAGTCGGTGGTGAAAGAGCTGACGTAGAGGAGGATACAGGGTGCCTTGGTGGTGCTGAAGCTGAAGCAGATCTCCTCACGGGCCAGGTCCGGGGCCCCATTCTGCGGGTCCAGGGAGTTCTCCGACCTGCTGCCCGATCCCTTAGCACCAGACCCAGGCGCCTGGAAGTTATACCGCAGCCACATCCCCTCTTCAAAAAATGCACCCACGTCTGTTGAAAAGGAAAGAGAAAATGGAAAGGTGAGAAGTCCGAGGCTAATACCACCAACCATTTAACCTGGGTAGACGGTGAGCTTTGTCGTGGCCGCTAAGGCTGTTCCTGGAGGGTGGACCGACTCCAGGAAGGGAACGTCTATGCAGATGGACGTTGTTTCATCAACACGGATACGCTACCAAAACCAAAAAAGCAGTGTAACAGAGTATAGCAGTCTGTCAACTTAAAACGTAGTAGCTAAATTAAGAAACGTTAACTCATACCAGAAAAAAGTTTCACGTTTAGTACTTAGACCAAATAACTAATTTCGGTTGAAGAGAGATGCTGAAAATAAAGGCAGAGGCATTGTTAGGGAACTGCTGACCGACACCACCCACCTAGGCCAGACCCGCTTCCCTGAGCTGTCTCACAACAGGAGGTCCCGACAAGGAACATGGTGCTGTGGAAAACTAGCCGGGAGGAGACGACCAACTTCTTAGAATCCTTCGCGCTGGAATCCCTCTTGGCTGAGCGATGCGCACGCCATCAGGAAGGACCCTGAGTCAGACCAAATACAGGCCAAGCAAGATGACTGGCCAGAGACAACCCGGAAACTAACCCCATCACCATAAAACCTGAGACCGCGAGCCATGTGGCAGAGCACTTCTCTGGGGTTCCCTTACCCTGCTGCTCTCTGCCCAGGTGCCCCTTCCCAATAAAGTCTCTTGCTTTGTCGGTACATGTGTCTCCTTGGACAATTCATTTCCGAGTGCTAGACAAGAGCCCACTCTCGGGTCCTGGAAGGGGTCCATCTTCCTGCAATAGTATCACATGAACCACTAATTCAAGGAACTCATGGGCATCTTCTGAGAGATCGGAGCTGCTTTGGATGTTCACCCAGGAAAGCCCTTGGTGCAACCCTGATGAAGTCCTGGGAGACTTTGGGTATAGTCTTCAAAAATCACAAGACATGAAGATAGAGGGAATTGGGCTCAAATTTGGTGCTGCCTTTAATTGGTTATGTGGCCTTAGAAGTCGCTTAGCCAGCTTCTCTAGGCCTCAGTATTTTATATGTGAAAGAGAGGTAATAACAGTGAGAATTACAAAAGATAATTAAAGTAATTAGCACATAATAAATAGTACCTATTATTATTATTATTAAGAAATTAGAAGAAAGGTCACCCATCCTTCAACAGTTTTTTCCTGTGGCCTAATCAATGCTAATTAGTTTTTAATCGTTGCCTGGCAGATAAGCTCCTGCTACAGTTTCTCCATTGTTTGCTCCACGTTCTAAAAGCACCTCCTGACTCCCTGTGAAAGGCTGGGGCATGCTAGCAAGGTCTGCTTGGCCTTCACAGTTAACTGTTTCATTGCTTTCTGCACGTGCCCTTGAAAGCATTTCCCAAACTTCTTTGCCTGTGGAACCCGTTACTCTCGTAAGACTTGACATCCCACTAAACTAACATTACACAGAATGTATTTTGTGAAACATCCGCTCTACATTATAATGAATAGGAGAGGACCGATTTTAAGAGGATCCTTTCCTCTGGGAATTTTGAAGCTTGTTCTTGTTAAAGAAGCCTAGCACAGGGAGAGTCAGCAGCACAGTGTGGTGACTCCGGGTCTGCAGTCAGACACCTGTGGCTAACCAACCCTGTTAACTTGGTCAGTGGCTTGAAACTCTCTAAGCTTCAGCTTCCCTCTCTGGAACCTGGGGCCTCAGGTTGTTGGGAGGGTTAAAGAACCCATGGATGATACTTAGCCTGGCGCCTGGAATGTATGATAAGCGTCCAAAAAAGATTACTTAGTCATATTACAAAGACAGGGTACCACTTTCTACTGAGGGCCGCAGATGCCACCCTGACCCCCACCTCACATGATCACACACGTGCAACACTCCACCCGGCACTGCTGCAGAGGCTGCCATGTCCTGCTTCCCACTGAGCTGCGGTGAAGAGGTCAGTTAACTACAAGCTCTCAACTGTGGGCAGTACTGTTCTCCTGGACCCCCACCCAAGGGCTTTTGCAGGTGTGTGTGCGTGTGCAGGTGTGTGTGTGCGTGTGCAGGTGTGCGTGTGCAGGTGCGTGTGCGTGTGCAGATGTGTGTGTGTGCGCACATACAGGGAGGGTACTACTGGCATTTGGTGGGTGGGTGTGAAGCCTGCTGAGTGTCTTGTGACATGTGGGACTGTCTCACACAATGAAGAATTGTCCTGCTCAAAATGCCTAGAGCTTCTTCGCCGGGAAACACACAATTAAACAGACACTTACTTAATCCATGCTAGTCACCGCACGACTCACCAGGATGTAAAGGTGCGGCAAATGCATCAACGCCCTTAAAGAGTCTTCTATCTGAAACTGAGCAGGACCCTGTGGGACTCCTGGGCACAAAAGCCTCTCTGTGTCCCCTTCCTCGGGTTCCAAAGCGCAGGTGCAAACAGTTGCTGATCAGGGAAGGGAGGGGATGCAGAGACCAGGGAGGAACAGTCAAGAAACAATAGTGCAGCCTTGGGGCAGGGTCCTGGTTCCCCCTCGGGGGATACACATAACAATATCTTTGCGCTCTTCTGCAGAATCAAGGCCCCCACCAAATGGAAGATGTAACTACCTGATGATGCTCTCTTCGTTCCAGAGAAGGTCACAGCTGACCCATCATCACCTGACACCAGATAATCTCTGGACTGAAGGAATGCGGGCCCTGCATGCACCCTCATCCTTATCAGCAACCCTGCCCCTCGACTGTGAAACTCCTCACAAACCCCCCAGGGTTGGGACACACGGTTTGGAGGGCATGAGCCCACTGTGCCCCCTCTGCCGGCAAAGCAATAAAGCTGTTCTTTCCTACTTCACCCCAAACTCTGTCTCTGAGATTTAATTCGGTGTCGGGGTACAGAGGCCAGATTCAGCTTCATGTCCAGTGGCAGGTGTAGAGGAGACACATCGACACTTTGGACACAGTGTGGTGAGAGTTATGGTGGTTTACTTGGTAGGTTATGTGAGAAGAAACCCCCTCTTACTGCCCAGAGGATCCTGAGCTGACTTTTCCACTCTCTCAGCAAAGAGAGTGGAATTGATCACCAGCTGCGTGCCAGGCACTATGCCGGGTGCTGAGGTTACAATCCTTGTTCTCAAGGTGCTCTTGATCTAGAGGAGAATTTAGGCTAACAGACATCATCAGAAGGCAGTGTGCTCAGTACGGGATCAGGTTTATATAAGGGGCACTTGGAACAACAGGGGTACCAGACCTGTCTCCAGGGCTCCAGGAAGACTTCCCAAGCGAAAAGACATTGAAGTCAGGGCCCAAAGAGCCAGAGGTGGGTCGCTATGTAAAGGTGAAGATGAAGACAAGCCACTTTCTAGCTGAGGGCGCAGCGTGCCAACAAACTTAGCCATGTTTTTTTTTTTTTTTTTTTTTAACAGTATCAGTTGTTCACAAGGCTCCCACTGCTGCTGGGAAAACAGTGAAGGAGACAGAGGTGATCCTTACCCTCAGTAGTTCAGATCCTAGTGGGACAGATGGACATTACTAGGACTGGCTGATGTGACAGTGTCTAGCAGCTGGTGGGGCGGGGAGCATTCAGGGACAGCAGGCAGGCAGGCCGCCCAGAGCAAAGACACCAAGGGGTGTGTTTTGCCAGCAGAGAGGTTCTACCAGAGGATGCAGGGGTCAGCATCTTGGAACAGGTTTGGGTCAAGCAGGAGAGAAGAGGTAGACCTGGGGCTTGGAGAGAGGGAGGGAGGAAGGCTAGAGATCAAGGCTGGAGGGTTTGAACAAGCCAGAGGCGAGCAGACAGGGCGGATGCACAGGGAGAGAAAAAAACGTATCGGGCCCTTGAAACTCAAGACTGAGGAGTGCAGCACCTGGGCCTGGGAGGGGTGGGGGTTCTGAGCAGCAGAGGCTGAGGAAGCAGGTAAAGCCAAGGAGATCACAGGCACCTGAGCCACAGATGCAGCGCATGGCCGGTGAGATCCTAAGCTCCCTCGGGCCAGGCTCTCCCCAGGTATTCTGCTCCGAGAGAGAGGGCAGAACTGAGTCCCTGACAGCACTTCTCAAGAGGCCTGGGAGTCTTTTAAAATGCTGATGCTCAGGCCCAGCCCCAGATTTTAGCTCAGAGGGTCTGACTCAGAGGGTCTTGAGAATCAGCACGTGTAAGAGGCGATGCTTAGGGACACAAGAGTCTGAGGTCCTGGGAGCTGGAATGGAGGCAGGATAGTGCGCTCGGTGGGGCTGCTGGGCTGTCCTGTCTGGGTGAGAACTTAAAGCTTTTCTCAGATAAACTGGTGACAATCCTTCCAAGGCAGATCATAAAGGGAAATTTGGAAAGCTAGGGATTTTGGATAAACAAATAAAAAATACGCCATAGAGAATACTTTTGGTGTATTTCAGAGTCATCCATCGTTAAGAAGCTTTAAGGATTCATGCCAGTAATGGAGAAAGGGATATACCACGCTTAAAAGTGTTGCTCTGAAACCACATCATAACCCAACTGTCAAAGCGGGGCCTGGGAGTGCTGTGAGCCATTTAAGGTTCCAGTGGCAGAATTACAGCTGTTATTCATTGTTTCAGATCTTTTTAAGGAAATGCCAAATCAGAGTACTGCGATTTCATTTAGGAAAGTAATATTCCCATCCCTTCTGAATGAATAATTAAAATAATGCTTACTTCACAAGCCCCAAATGATATCTTTTCCCCCATTAAATGATCAAAAAGTTGACTTCGAATGCTTGATTTAAGGTTTAATACTAATATGAGATAGTTTAATTCTTGATATTAATTTTTTTTGGATAAAAAATGATAAATTTTGGGTCTAGTTATTCTAAGATATATTATGAAGGAAATTTGTTGATTTATGTGTCTCAAAATTTTGAAATACATTATGCCAGACTTAGGATCATAAAGGTCACAGGGGTCTTGAAGCAGACAAGTAATCTTGTCTTAACCATTTCTTGGTCTTCAAAACGGATCATATGTAAATTACCCCTGATTGTGGAAAGTAAGTTTGGAAATGTTTGAAATA